TTTCTACAATTGTTCTGGGACCCCCAATCTGTACAAAATTATCAATACAATGGTCTATACAAACGTCCTGGCAAAAATTGTACCAGTCCACAACAGTATTTTTATTTACGCCAACCTCCCTTGTTGTCAAATATGCCCACCAATAAAGAATTTGTATCGTTTTTGACATCTCTAATTTACTATTTTTAAAAAATGAATCCTTTCAAATACTTGTCCTCATTTGACAATTTTCTTTTGGACATCGCCAAATGACTTGATCAACTTTATTAACTAAATGAATAACCTCGTACATTTCTTCCCCGCAGTTTTCACAAAACATTTCCCGATGCAACAGTTCATTAAACCTTAACCACTGCCTAGTTATTCTACGATTTCTAGTGAGACGATATAGCTTGTTAAAATTTAAACGATTTAATATTATTGCCTGATTCATTTTACAATAAATAGTCTTTTTCAAAAAAGGAACTACGACGTGCAAAAAAAGATGTTTCATTTTGGGCATATTCGAACAGCTATGGCACGCGTAAATCATAACCACTTCAAAATAATAAAAATGGTTTCTGCGGCATTTTTACTAGATTAATGAAAAAAATGTACTAATAACAAATCAGCATTGTCCTAGAATTTTGCCAAAATTTTATTTGTTAATTATTTGGTATTTTCATTATTCCATTTCATTTCAATTTTTAATTATTTGATGATATAAATGGCCAATAAGATTTTTTTTTCCATTTTTACTATTTTAATAAAAATTATTTATTTCATTTTATTATTTTAATATAAATAATTTAAAATAATAAAATTTGACAGTTCCGTATTTTTTAAAATTTCTTACATTATGTTTCGACATTGTGCTCACAATCTCATTGGTCGTTGTTTATGTGCACTCTTTTTCTACATATCTCCCGCATTTATAATGTGTTTTCAATTGCATGGTAGGCACTGTCCTAGAATTTTGCCAACAGTTTCATTAATAAATCAAGGTAGAGTTAGTCAGACTTTAGAGGTTTTTCACTTTTTACAATTTTTTTTACTTAGCTACTTAGTTAATTAAATGTTAAATGTTAGAGTTTGTTTTAGAAGAGAAACTACTTTTCACTTACTTTTTCTTTTCTGCAAGTTTTAATAGATATTTTAAAATTTAAATTAATTATAAATTATTAAATTAAAATGTATTAAATTAATCATTAATTAAAAAAGTAATTAAAATATTCATAATTGATAGTGATACCTAACCACCGACCGACTTTACAAAAACAAGTAAAACTTATTTATACCAACTCACTTTTCAATTAATAATTTTTTAAAGACTGACCGACTTCTTTACCTCACAGTATTAGAAATTTCACCAGGAAAAATAAAACATTGAAATTGTCATCAACGAGCCACTTTCGATTTCGATCGTTTAGGTAGTGATGTGCTGCGTTGCGAGTTAAAGTGGATACGATTCATGGATATATATAATATATATATATATATATATATATCCATGATACGATTAGGGATTGCGAGTATTTTTATATTTCTTTTATCTTTGGTTGTTTATTTTTATCATATATAGAATATGATTGATTTTCTACATTATATTATATTATATATTATTATAAATATAATATATATTTTATATATATATATATACAGTTGTTCAAAAAATCCACCGACGATTCAGCATTAACAAGTTTTATGGTTGATTTTCTAATATTTTGAACTAGTTCTTTACAATTAAGTCTATTCAAAATGTTGAAATCCATTTTATAATCGTTTATGATTTTAATTGTTAAAATTAAAATCAAACAACGATAGCAACAACAACAGCAACAATAAAAAGAACAACAACAACAACAACATTAATAATAATGGTAATGATGATGATGATGATAATAATAATAATAATAATAATAATAATAATAATAATAATAATAATAATAATAATAATAATAATAATAATAATAATAATGATAACGATAACGATAATAACAACAACAATAATAATAATAATTAATAATATTAATAATAATAATAATAATAGAAACGATATTCTAATTAATTTCGCGCTTCAAATTTGTGACATTGTTGGTTGCCATCTTGACAACGGCCACGTAGCATGAACAATCGTATAATTTCAAATATTTTGTTTACTAATTTCAATGAACCTTTGCGTTTTTATTTCGTTACTTTTATTTTATTTTAATATATTAAAAAATACAACTAATTAACTATTAATAGAATTTATTTAAAATATATTGCACTGATGATGACTTTACGTCGAAATAGATCTATATGCACAATTTTAATAATAATATAAAAAATAAACGATTATAAAAATGGGATCTTGCTTGATTAATTTTAACAATTAAAATCATAAACGATTATAAAATGGATTTCAACATTTTGAATAGACTTAATTGTAAAGAACTAGTTCAAAATATTAGAAAATCAACCATAAAACTTGTTAATGCTGAATCGTCGGTGGATTTTTTGAACAACTGTATAGAACTTGGTCTTCTTCCTAATATATATATATATATTCTATATATAAATATATTTATTTATTCATATATCAGATAACCGTTTGGTTACTGTTCCACATTTAAATGATTATTTTAATAAAAAAAAATTAAAATATGTTAAAATGTGCAATTTGTTGCCAAAAACTTTATTATTCGCTATGTTCGCTATTATTATTTACTATGTTTATTCTATATATATATATATATATTTGTTTATTTATTTATATATGTATATATATAAGACTCTTTTAGATATATATATATATCTACCATATATATATATATATATTTATAGAATAAGCTAACTACCTTCTCGAATCTCATCTGTTACTTTAACGAATATTTCTGCATTCTTCATTCGTGGTCATCGCACCGAGTTAATTCACTCAGTAAAAATGCCATGTCTCAAGCTGCTATTACGTGTTGGCATGGTTCGATACTGTCTGTCTGGGACAAAAAGACTATCATACACATATGATGCGGCGCTAGCGCGTGCATAGGTAATGTTATGTGAGTCATGTGGTGTGGATAGTGTACAGCCTTAGTGGCACAAAAATTTATTTATAAAGTATAGAATAACATGTAAGAAGAATAATGAATAAAAAAATACATTACTACATTTTAAATTTGTTTTTGTGTTAATTATGTGCAAAATATTTTGTCCTTAATTTAAGTTTATAAATGTGGGATTTTTGTTGTAAACCAGAGGAAAGCCAAAGGGCGAACCAATAACTGATGAAAAGTTTATTACATTGTTCCTAGGTTCAGAGGAATCAAGAATCAACAACGCAGAAACACTGCCAAACGACGCATCACACACAAAGCATGCACACAAGGCAAGTATCTTTTTGTCACATTAAAACCCGCGAAACACCGCATGCACCGCGAAACAGAACCAGGCGACCTTAAACCACTTGGTCATCAAACGGTTCAAAGCTGGTGATTTTTTTAATTTACGTTAATTATTGGATATCTTATTGAAAACAACATTCTTTATTAGTATAAATCATTGAATTAAACAATTTCATAGTATTTCTAAATATTTCACGATATTTTTTGTAGGGTAAAATTAAACACTTGAAAGAACGGATCAATTATAATTTAATGATTATTTTAAAACCTAAGACAGTGCTGGAGGACTTTTTTTCTCTGACAATGTCTTGCGACATTAAATAACTTAATATTAATAAATTAATGACAGGTTATTCC